AATACTTTTTATAGCATTAAAACTTTCTATATTACTATATATAGCTAGGTTACGTATATATCGATTCCTACTTATCTTTATAAACCTTATCAGGTAGGCGGTAACATTGCCTGTATAAGGATGGCTCGGTTTCTTCATCGAAATGGTATTTTAAATATTTCCTCAATAGGTCATCAGAACTTTACAATATTATACAGTGTTTCCTTGCATAACAATGTCTATGTAATGACTGAGTCACAAGTTCTGGTGATGTCTGTAAATATCATAGCAAAAAGTTTTGAATTTCTTGTTCTTCTTTCTTCTGCATCTTTTTTATTACACGATAACTCAAAATCCAAAACAATGGTGTCAAACAATTTCAGTGAGGTGACATAGTTTCAAACGGAGTATCCACTTTTATAAGTATTATTAATAACTAGTAGTAATTTTAAGAAATCACAATTCTAGTGTAAACGATGTTATCATTATTCCTTGAAGTTAGCTTTCTTACAAATATTTGATTTTCCTTTAAAAAGCTTAAGTACAGGGTGAAACAGGAATTACCAGCCAATAATAGATAAACAATAAATATTACAGTTGGAACCTCATTGTATTTAGATCTTTGTTATAAGTACAACCTTCCTATGTCTATTGAAACACTGCATTAAAATATTCATTCATTAGTTAGCTAAGCCGCGTATTTTGTTTTACCCACCATCATGCCTAAGTTGAACAAAAAACGCGGCCTGGCTAACTAATGAATGAATATTTGCTGTAAAATCCTTATCAATGCTATAAATGTAGCTATCAGTTTGACCGTCAATTTTGGTTTCATTTTTTTAAGTCGCACACTCTATCCTTTTTTCGGCCGCACCTTTTTTTTTCACACCCAAGGTGTTTTTAATTAGATACACAGTATCGCTTGACAATTTACTTAGAAAATTAAAGCAGTATTATTTCAAAATTAATTTTTCGAAGACTGGATAAAAACACATTTGGTGTTTTTCACCCTGATTCGATCTAAATAATGGTACTGAGTAGCATTTCAAATATGGTCGTCGAATGTCTAATATTTCGAACAATTTTGAAAACTATATGTTGTCTACATCAAAGAATGATTTTCTAGTATTAAGAACGCTCGAAACATTTACTGTTACTGCTTTATCTTAGTTTACAACACAACACAACTCCCTTCCTGTATGTGGAACTCGTATACTTCCCAGATATGTAGATTTCTCACCACTCATCTATAATATTTTGCATCAGAAAATTAAGTGAATCAAGTGGAAATCACAAAGTTTAGTACTTACATTATACCATAAAAGGCCACCTGAAATCTCAGAAAGCATGGGTTGCAAAGTCCTTTCAGCCATTTGTTTTTTGGCCAAATTACTTTCCTAACTGTGATGTTCAAGTAGTAACCCCTCTATGCGGTACATACATCATATCTCACAATACCACACTATAGCTTGGAAAGCAAGGAATGCTACTTTCTTTTTGTCAGTGATCGTACTAACAGCAACTGTCACAAATAGTGATGATTGATCAGTCCCTCTCACGTCGATGTTGGCAGGAAGGCTGACTTTTGTTTTGATTCATCATCTGATTTGTCATGTTTATACAAAAACTGCGTATAATCAGAAGGATGTTGTATAAAACAATTTCAACAAAATTAAATTTGAAGGCAAACAAAAGTTTTACTGAAACACCATCGATGTTTAGCCATTTTAATTTTTGATGACTTAATGGATTTGATAACTTATAACAGAGTTTTATTCAGAATAAAGACAAATTTGAAGTTGTTCAAAGCATTGATCAGTTTCAAAATACAAAAGTATCTACTAAAGTTAAGCATCGGGGATCTTATATCTAATATTCATATTTAAATGATAGAGAAAATTCTTTGATGTGATTGTTGTAGAGCGGTGAAAATTCGAACCAATATATAGGAGATTCCCTAAGTGGGTTTGGTTATTAAAAGCAAAGCTACACAATAGATTATCCGTGTTCCCTTCCACAGGTGGCCCGGTATGGCCAGGTGGTTAGAGCGCTTGACTCGCCATCTGAGAGTCGCGGGTTCGAATTTTCGTCCCACCAAATATGCTGGCCCTTTCAGTCGTGGGGGCGTTATAATGTTGTGGTCAATCCCACTAATTGTTGGTAAGAGAGTTGGCGGTGAGTAGTGATGAATTTCTATGCTAAATTAGGGATGGCTAACGCAGATAGCCCTCGTATAGCTTTGCGCGAAATTAAAAAACAAACAAATCCACCGCGGGCATCGCAAAGAATGAGTTAACCTTATGTTCCTTCTGACTTGCCGCTGAGTCATAGGATAAAAACATCAGATACTTATTTTATATTTTAGTGTTATATTATGTTGAGAATAGAATATAAAATAGGATGCAATAAAAAATAATTTTGCGACATATGAAATTTGTCTAGCGTTCGGTTTTCAGTTCCAGACAAGTGTGATGCAACTTTGAATAAATTACCTTTTCGATCAGAAAGACACGATTTTCTTTCGAAACTTTTAAATCCAATTTTTAAGATGTAACATAGTCTTGATCCGTGTGACCCTTTTCTCTCAGATTTTGTTTAGAAGAAAAAATTCTCTGCAGCGACATTTGAAGAAATCGTAAAATGAAATTTGATTTAGGAAGTATGATCAATGTAAAACTGGAAATGTATCTGTTATCACATATTTTATAATAATATAACTGATTGAACCGAAATACATATTCTGGATTTTACAGCTCTATTTCAGGGCTTGGTTTGAATTTCAAGCAACGTTACACGTCCCTAATTTAGCAATGAAAGACTAGAGGGAAACAGCTAGTCATCACCACCCACCGCAAACTCGAGAGCTACCCTTTTACCAACATTTAGGGGGTTTGACCGCACGTTATAACGCCCCCACGGCTAATGGGCGAGCATGTTTTGCGCGACGGAGATTCGAACCCGCGATTCTCAAGTCAAGCACCCTAACCACCTGACCATGCTGGGCCTCTATGTCAGGGAAATTAAATGTTAGTATTTTTTAAGAAAACAATCTGGTAGCACATCCACACGGACCTACATCTTCATTAGAAATTATATCTCCATATGAACAAAAGTTTCGTTGTTTTATTTCAGAATTGATTAATAAGCTGTTTAAAATTCTGAATCTATAAACAATATATATTTAAGATTGAAAATTCCCTACCTTTGTATTACGTATTGTCTGGAAACTGCCGAATTTTTTAAATTAATTTTTATTTTTGACAACTAACAATTTACATTACAAATAAATCACGAGTCCTTAAAAATGTTATACTTCATCATTTTATCAGAGAATCTAAACAATCAATATGAAATTATAAAACATATTACACACTATAAGAATGGATTCTTTACAAATCTTGAAATATTGGAAAACGTCTGTACGCCTAGTAAGTTACGAACAAGGCAACCAACCACGTAAAGATGCAACAATATCTGTTGAAATAATCAGTGGTCCTACTAACACTTATTAAGCATTTTCATGACCGTTCATAAATAGAACTATAATACATAACAACTTTACATCATTATATACACCAAGAACATAGCATCTCTAGTGCCCAGAATATACATGAATAATGTTAACCTCTGTACATCTTCAGCATCAATAACATAAATGGATTGTAATAATTTCTGTAACATATTTTGTGCTAGTACAGAATCAATCTGGTTATATCGTATTTACTACCTAGAATATACAAGACTAACGTTAACCTCTGTACATTTATAGTATCAATAAGATAAATAGCTTATAATAACATATATGGCATCGTCTGTGCTAAGACAGAACGTTGGATAACGCTCTGCTTCATAGCATAAATATCAAGATTTTAATTTTTAATCGTTTTCCATATTCTGTTTCTAGTCACTAAATATTTGAACACACATGGGACATTTAACAACACTATGGTTTTCTAGTTTTTTGGTATAGTTCTCTACATGTAATATATTGCCTTGCTTTTCTTTGAAAATATTTACACTTGTGGTGAAAAACCACCCAAAGTTACACGTATTCCTTCTTGAATATACACCTATCTCTGAACTCCACACAACATCACAAGTTAACAAATACAATGTTTGATTCTATCATCAGAATCACGTGACATGGCGGATTCCGCCAGTAATACGGCGATGATTAGAGAATTATAAAGGACAGTAGCACATGGAATCCTGGCAATCTATCGGTCAGATGTCAGTTTCAATAGGGTAAAGGAGAACTTGTCTACTGAAGGCCACGTGGAAGGGCGTTCCCCACTTATTCAAGAATCCTAGAAAATAAAATGAAATATGTTAATATTGTGTCATACATTATAAACACACACAAAAGAAAGAAGAAACTGCTAAGTTCTCAATATTTTGTTGCACGTTTCGAATATTATGATTATGCCAGATGTAAGAACTTTCGATCTGTCAGCCCTTGATGAAAGACAGACTACTGTATCTTTATGTCTGCAGGGAAATGATATAACGTTTTCAACCTCTCTCATTTAAGAATTCGCGTAATTCAAAACCTGTTTACACTTTGTGGTATTTTCATATTTACTTTAGAGTAAACGGGTAGACTCCACAGAATAATAGAAGGTCCGCCCGCCAGAAAATGTTTTGTTGAGTGAAAATCTGAATTCTACAACCTCGACTGAGTTAAAAAAAATGGAAACTGGATACAAGTTAAAACACAGTAAAACAATCTTTATTTAACACTCAAAAGCAAACAAATGTATTTTATGGCGACTTTACTGGAGAGCTCTCTAGTGTATCTTAAATCCATCTCTAAATCTGTTTAAATCATGATCATGATTTTATATTCCAGACTGAGAAAACATAACATTATATACGTAAAAAATATTCAACACATGGGCAGGCGTTACTACCCATGTGACTGATAGTCATTTTCACTGCAAAATTTGGAGATTGCACCTTTGAGGTATTCAAGTGACCTGCTAGTGGAAAGATCACTGTCTATTTCGATATAATATGTTTCACTCTGCAGGAATCTGTTCCACAAGAAAGCACATGTGACAGTCTAGATGAATCACCCACTTCAGTAAGTAACTAGGGTGCAAGGAACTTACCGACTCGATCGACAACATTCTTTGTTTAAGGCTACATACAAAATAAGTAGAGAAATTTTGAAAAATAAATTAAATTAGGGAGGACATTTTGTATATACTGAACTCCCCTTCACTGATAAGAAAAGTAACACAACTGTTGTCTGTATCACAGCAGAATACTTTTTCTGATATTTTCTCTCTATTTTTTTATTTTTATGTGGGATTTAATATTTTTATTGCTGTGCATACGTTATATTAACAGTATTTTCGCGATTTGTATTCGAAATGAGTAGCATGTATAAACATTTATCGAGACTTTTCTTAGTTTGAAGCTGTCTTCAGTTTTCAAGTTTTTGTTTGTTTGTTTTTAAACGCAAAGCTACACAATGGGTTATCTCTGTTGTGCCTACCACGGGTATCGAAAACCGATTTTTAGAGTTATAAGCCTTCAGACTTATCGCTAAGCCACTGGTTTTTATTTTTAATATAGAAAGAATATTGAGAAGAACTATTTGAAACATTCTTTCACGACTATTATGCATAAATAAGATTTCACTCGTGTTTATCTGTCTCGCAACCTATTAACATAAATAACAGATACAGTTTTATTTCTAGATTGTAAACATTTAGTTTCAGACAGAGTAATGTTTCTCACATCTACTAATCATAACAAACTATAAAGTTAGGGCTGACTTCCCTACTTTACCAAATATTAAAAAACGCTTTTCCAAGAAAATGTTCGAGATTTTCTTATATTATTTATTCCCTAATCCATCATATATTATATTAGGTCGTCATGAAGTTAATGTCCCTTTTTTTAGATGAAAAACCCTAACAACTTATATATCAAAATAAAACATTTATTAAATGAAATAGTCTATATTCTTATCGATGATGCTTTTCCATCTTATAATCAGGTTGTTAATGCCCCGATTAAATAAATCACTTGGCTTTGAAGTAAAAGACATGTCGATATCCTCTTAAACACCTTCCACATTTGCATACGTTTTCCCATTAAGATGGCGTTGCAGTGAACGAAAAAGATGGTAATCTAAGGGTGCCATATCTGGAGAATATGGTGGGTGGGGGAGAACATTTCAACCCAATTCCATAATCTTGCGTTGCGTCAAACGTGCCACATGTGGACGTGCATTGCCGTGGAGATTTGTTTGTTTGTTTGTAATTAAGCACAAAGCTACACAATGGGATATTTGTGCTCTGCCCAACACGGGTATCGAAACCCGGATTCTAGCGTTGCAAGTCCGCAGATATACCGCTGTGCCACTGGGGGGCTCCGTGGAGAAGAAGAACACCTTTCCGACTGACGAGTGAAGGGCGTTTTTGATGAAGGGCTT